TTTGGGGTTTAGGGTTCCTGAAAGGGATCTAAAAAGGTTTCCATAAGGGTACTTGCAAGGGCTTTTCTTGGGTAGCTACGGGTAGCTCTCTAAATTAGGTTCCCCTTAAGGGTCCTTCTCATAAAGGTGCCGTTCTATCTTGGGGACCCAAAAGAAACCCCTATTTAGAACTACCCTGGAGGAGAAAGCATTTCCGGGCGGTTTTGGCTTCAGGATTTCGGGTCTAGGATTACAGGGTTCAGGGTTTGGAGTTTGGGGAAAAAACAAGGTTGTGCTTTTTTACCGGATCCCGTGGGCTTGATAGAAGGCCATATCGGGCTACAGGGGTTTGTATGTACAAAGATCTTGCCATTCGTGTTCATGGTCTAGGGCTTGGGGTATAGGGCTAGGATTTTTTGATTTGCTTGCACAGCGCGTTGTTACGGTGGAAAGGTACACTCCATGTCTCAATGTAGATGAGGGCAGGCTGCAGGAATCTAAGAATTCAGCGAAGCTGGCTCGAAACCCCGAACACTGAACCTGAAAGCGCTGGCTGAGGAAGCCATGTCAACAGCTTCAATGTGTGCAAGTACTGCTCTCTAAGCAACCCCAAACCCTAAACCCTAAACCCTCAAGCCCTAAAGCCCTAAAGCCCTAAACCCTAAACCCTAAACCCTCAAGCCCTAAAGCCCTAAACCCTAAACCCCCAAAGCCCTAAACCCTAAACCTAGGAATTTGGGCCTACGCTTCTGAACTTGCTGCCGAGCATCTCAGAGTGGTGGCTGTGGTGCCTCGCAGGATGCCACAAGGGGCTTATTTGGGTTTAGGGTTTACGGTTTAGGGTTTAGGGCTCTCTATTTTGTTCACGGTATTTGGGGGTTTCCGAAAATAGGGGACCCAAATATAGTACCCTAAATAGTAGGTTCCTTATTATAAGGACCCCAAAATAAGGTACCCCTGGTTTTCGGAAACTCCCATTTGGCCATCACAAGGTTCTGAATACTTAGTAGCTGTATCCCTTGTAATGGTCGCGACCAGATTGTGCAATCATATTCCCGAAAACCCTATTCTAGTCATTAAGGCCCAGCATGAAACCCCCTGACATCCCATCAAAAAAACTACGCAACCCTGCTTCCGCAATTCAACCCTAAAACCAGCCTATGAACCCTAAACCCTATACCTTGGTACAGGAAAGCTAGATCGACCTCTTGCACTAAGAATAGCTTATTCAGGTTAGCTTGTCGTCATCCTTACCCCCGATGTCTTGACAATCGTTATTATCATTGTCATCATCATCTGCAACATCAGAATAACTACCGATGTTGACTCACGTCAGGAGACATAGATCATAAACAGTCATCTACATTGTGTATTGCCTACAGTCATCTACAGTCATCTGACTGAAAATGGTGAGGATCACCATGGTGACGAAGGTCCATGGTCGGCATCATCATCATCATCATCATCATCATCTTCATCACCATCTTATCGTCCTCATTGCCATCATCGTCCCCGTGGTCATATTCCACCGAATCGCTAGCGTTAACAAACTAAATCGTCATGACAAGCTTCTTCATCGGCATCTTCACAACGATCGCCCTTCCCATTCCCCACTCATACCACCTCCAAGGTCACCAGGGTTTCCGCTGGCATCGTCGCTACCAGAAATGGTCGGCATGATCGTGTTCATGGATACCAACATCATCATCATCATCATCATCATCATCACCATCATCATCATCATCAGCATCATCATCATCATGAAAATCATCATCATCATCATCATCATCGCCACCATCACCAAATTTCATCATCATCATCATCATCATCATCATCATCATCACCAATATCACCAGTACCAGCACCAGGACACCACAAACAACAACGACAACCACCACAACAACAATATAAACATGATATCGTTATCAGCATCGTACTTGGCACCATCATCATTCTCACAATCATGATGAGGATAAGCATCATCATCGTTATTACTAGTCAAGCCTTTTCAACAACATCATCATCACATCACAAACACTATCGTTATTATCAAGACCACCAACAAGATGTCCGGGCGAAGCCATCAGAAAACTGCCGAAGCAATGCCATCAGTCCCAACTGCATGCCTGCGGTGCTTCTTGTGGCTGTGCTTGATCTGAGAGACGGTGGCCTGTACAAAGGGGGCTGGAGGCCAGAACTGCTCCCCCGCTATTGTAATTAAGCTGGGACCTAATCAGAACGAGGTTTCGAGGTAGCCGCCACCATCGTTTGTGGTTAGTGTGTCCCTGGACCTCGCATTGCCAACATTTTTTAGCGATTTCGGGGCCCCTGTCAGGTCTGAACGAGGCCTTGCAAGACGACGTCGGTGAGCAGCAAAATCGAACACTGGAGTTTATGAGTTTATGCCAACTAAGAGCTTCGGGCTCTAAGGGTTTAGGGCTACCGACAGATGTGTGTATATACATATACATGGAGATACAGACAAGATATGGAAATAGAAAAGAGGGTCAGCATAAATGTTACAAACAGATATAGATATAAGTGTGTGTGTGTGTGTGCGTGTATAAGGGAGGGAGGGAGGGAGGGGAGGCGGTGTGTTGCATGCCAGACCCTCAAACTTCAAGGCTTGACCTCCTGACCCCTACAGAATCATGACTTCGGCTTTGTAGGTCATTGAGCGTCAGCGAAGATGACCGAAAACAGGGTGCCTCTGGCTCAGGCTCCCTGTATTTTTGTCGAAGTTTCTGAGCCTCCAAGCATCCCCCAGACACCATGGTATACCCTGAACACGGGTACCAACATAACATCGGAGCTTTCTACAGTTCATTGTTCTGACTGTGTTAGCATGGTTAGCCAACAACTGGAGCTGCAACTTGCCTGGTCCCCCGCACCAGCGCCCAAGACAAGCAGCAAAGGAAGGACGGCCTTGAACCTGGGCGAGGGTCAGGTGCAGCAAGGTTATATAAGGGGCTTACAGGTGTATATCAGGGATCTATTGGGTTAAAGAAGGGATTTAGAGTAAGGTTCCTTAAGGGCTTAGTAGGGCTATACCATAAAGGTTTTCAACGCTTCCGTACATAGGGCTGTTATCGGTTGATACTATGTCAGGCTTATGCTGAGACATTTGGTGAGTCAAAGCGGCTCCTTGGGTGTCTTGGCGGCTGCACATTGGGTGTAACGGATGTGGAACTACTAGTAAGGAAGACCCTGCATCAGACGATGGCCCCATTGAAGAATTGAGCATATGTTGCTATAAATCCTGAAGTCGCCAAACCTTAACCCGAAATGTTCGGAGTGTGGTCGAAATGTTCGGAGTGTGGTTGAGGTTCGTAGGTTTTGGTCGAGGAGGCGACGGCACCGGGTATCTTCACTAAAACGAGCTGAAGAATGCCTGTTCATTCTACGACGTGGTTTTCAAGAATGCTTGGTGTCGGAATCTCTTCAACCACGACCCTTCAACTACCACCGCTACTACTGCCACTGCAACGTCTACGGCTGCCACTGCTGCTACTAGTACTGCTGC